GAGCTTAATTTTGAATTTTTTCCAAATTTTGAAAACTTTTGTTTGAAGAAATCTGAGTTTTTAAAAATTTCCTCTGAAGTTGTTATGAAGAAAGACGTAAAAAAAGTTAACAAAAAAGCGAGAAGACGGCGAAAAGGGGGCTTTTAATGCACCTGTTACATTCAGAAATTCCTCTAGATTCAAGTATGCGTTTACAGGAGATGTTATGATTGTTGTACTTTCCTGCGCAGGAAGTGGGAAATCTTGTTATTTCTGTACCTAAAGTATGCTGTTTTTGGGCTTTTAAGCGTTTAATTCTAAATTTCATTAAGTCAAAACCCCTTCCGTAACTGCTTTCTTGGTATTTCGGGGGTAATAAGTGCTAGTCAGTTGAACCATCCGTTGAGAAGGTTGATGGCTTCTTTTGAGGGTTGCTAAGAAGCAAATTGGTGGCATGTTTATCCCCTGAACCAATTTGACATCGCAGCAAATGAATGAATCGTAGAGCAACTGGTTCTTCTAGTGGCCAAATCGAAGCCTCGACCTCCTGCGCAGAAACTGTGCTATTTCGTTCTCCATTATACCTGTCCAGCCGATTTTTGTATTTTTCCTCAAATTTTGAAATTTTCTTTGTTTTTTTCTCTCCTTTCTCCGGTGCATTTTTGTTGCAGGTTGAATCGGAGGATGGTGATGTTGAGCTGGAGATTGACGTGCAGAACGATGATCCATCCATAACAAACGGTGTGAATTTGAAGAAGGATGGACGTGACAGTACGCAGTCTGTTTCGTCCAGTGATTCGATACCGGGCAAAGCTCGAATCCCGAATGCACTGGCATCGGCCGATATGAACGCAATGGCATCGATGGCTGCCGCCTCGACGATGCTTGCCAATCCAGCGCTGGCTTCGTTCGCTGGGCGAGCAGCGTTGCCGGGAATGCTCGACCCGCATGCGCAGGCTCGTTTCATGGCCGGAATGAGTCAGGCTGGCGCAATGCCAAACGGGAAGCCAGCCTATAGCTACAAAACAACCGAAAGTGGCCAGCTTCAGCCGGTAACATTCCCACATGATGCTCTGATGGGCCCGGGAATTCCACGAATAGCCCGAAAGGTGCACGATCTGCAGCATGGTGAAGTGGTCTGTGCGGTAACAATCTCACATCAAAATCGACATGTCTATACTGGTGGTAAAGGCTGCGTTAAGGTAAGCTCATGTTCTTGTCGCGCATTGGTTGGTCTCTCACTGCCAAGCCCTTCGATCCTGAGCTGCATACCTTCAATTAACCTTCCAGCATCCGGTATGTATTAGCATCCCAATAACACTGCTTTCACCGATTGTCCTCTCTCTGTTGGTACTGCTATTATCTATAAGAGGAGAGGAAAACAAGGGGAGGGGGGAGGAAGAACCATTCAAGAGGAGAGGGATTTA